ACGTTTATGCCATGGAATACTATGCAGCAGTAAGAAAGAAGAGTCTCTTATCCTTTGAGACAGCATGAAGGGACCTGGAGAGTATCATACCAGGTAAAATAAGTCAGTCAGAGAAAGACAAATATCACATGATCTCACTCATATGTGGAATCTAATTAACAAAATAAACTGATGGAGTAGATCCAGAGACATGGAAGAAGAGTGTAGAATCTCAGAGGGAAGATGGGGGTGGGTGGGAGGTAATCAATCAAAGAACTTGTATGCATATATGTATAACCCATGGACACAGACAACAGGGTGGTGAAGGCCTCGGGCGGAGTGCGGGGGCAGGCTGGAGGGGACCAATGTAAGTAAAAAGGGGGACATATATGTAATACTTTCAACAATAAAGATTTTTTAAAAAAAACCAGCCCTACCCAGTTTGGCTCAGTGGATAGAGTGTCAGGCCTGTGGATGAAAGGGTCCCAGGTTCCATTCCGGTCAAGGGTACATGCCTGTGTTGCAGGCTTGATCCCCAGTAGGGGGCATGCAGGAGGCAGCCAATCAATGATTCTCTCATTATTGATATTTCTCTCTCTCCCTCTCCTTTCCTCTCTGAAATCAATAAAAGTATTTTTTAAAAAAGATTAAAAACAAAGTAAGGGAATGGCAGGTAGGAGGACAAGAGAAGTAGATGGAGTTGGGGCATAGGGGCAGGTCTTTGAAACTCATGTATCAGAAGCCCAAGCTTCAGTTTTAAACACACACCAGTCTCAGAGAGCCAGAAGTTCACAACAGCATTGGTAAAGTATGAACTTTCCTCTCCCCATCTCAGTGTGTCTTAGCAACAGGGGACAAAAGAGGTGACAGTACAAGGTGGAGAAACAAGGTCAAGGCCAAGCACTTGCTGCCTCTCCCCCAGCCCCCACTGCAGGGGCAAAGCTGGCAGCAGGCCCAGGCTGGGGAAGGGGCGGCCTCTATCTCTAAATGAAGTTCAAAGGCTTTGTTGTTACACAGGACTGGACACCTCATCTGCCTACGGGAGGGCCTTCGAAGCCTGGGACTTCCCTGCATTCCCTCCAGGGACAGGGGAAGAATGAGCCCCAGTGAATAAATTTAGTGGAGACCAAGATAAAGTTGGTCTTTGATCCAACTGAGCTTGTTTAACATAACAATAGGTAGTACTCTGAATGTGTTATTTCCCTTCTCAATTGAATATGATAGATCAGCTAAAGTTCATTGACATTGGATTGTCTACCAATTCGATATTTAGCAACTTAATTTCTACCTGCTGCAAATGATTGAATTTATGGAGATCTCCATAAATTTTCTAGTACTTTACTAGAACCTGATAGTTTAGGATTCTCAATGGAAGTGTACAAAAGTAGCCCGGCTGATCTAGCTCAGCGGCTGAACATCACCTATGAACCAGGAGGTCAAGGTTTGATTCCTGGTCGGGGCACATGCCCAGGTTGTAGGCTTCATTCCCAGTGTGGGGCGTGCAGGAGGCAGCCAATCAACGATTCTCTCTCATCATTGATGTTCCTGTCTTTCTCTCTCTGAAAATCAATTTTAAAAAATATAAATTTTTAAGGTGTACAAAAGTAGTTGATCTGAAGGTCAAACATATGAAGAGGAGGAAGAGTGTTTTAAAACATTTTTTCTTATATGTTTTTTGGAGAAAAGGTGATACCAGCTCACAGAGGAACATCAGAATTTCAACAGAGTGCTAAGTGCTGAGGCGGAGGGGAGAAGATTGATGGAGGTGGCAGCCACTTCCCTGAATTGCAGGCCTCTGTACTGGGACCCCAGCCAAGAGCTGTACCTTGGAGGGTGAAGTTCCTATGTGATGGGAATCAGAACAGGGTTGCATTTGGTCAGTAGGTGTGGATATGGGCTGGGAAGCAACAGAACTTTCTAGAGTACTATGATCTTGAAAGGGGTGGAGGTAGGTTGACAGGTGTACAAATTTGTCACTTAAGTGGTACATTTAGGATTTGTGCATTTCACTATATGTAAATCTTACTTACCTACCTTCCAAAAAAAGGTAAACTAGTTAATGATATGGACATTGAAGTGTTTAAGAGTGTGTACTAATCTGTAATTGTCCTTTGAAAACACCAAGTAAAAAAAGGGGGGGGAATGGATGTCGGAATGGACAGTTATGTGATAGATATGGCAGGATATTAATTGGAGAATATATAATTATTTCAACTCTGTATGTTTGAAATATCTCATAATCCTGGGAGCAAGCACACCCTTGTTATAGTCAAATGTACTTCGGAAACCCAGAAGCCATGCCCAGGATAGTGGTCAGTTTATGATGTCAGTAGATACTGTATTCCTGTACACATTCTACTTTTTAAAATATATATATTTGTATTGATTTTAGAGAGGAAGGGAGAGGGAGAGAGAGAAACATCAATGATGAGAGAGAATCATTGATCAGCTGCCTCCTGCATGCCCCCCTACTGGGGATCAAGCCTGCAACCCGGCCATGTGCCTGTTGACCAGAATTGAAACCCGGAACCTTCAGTCCGCAGGCTGACGCTCTATCCACTGAGCCAAATCGGCTAGGGCAGTGGTCGGCAAACTCATTAGTCAACAGAGCCAAATATCAACAGTACAACGATTGAAATTTCTTTTGAGAGCCAAATTTTTTAAACTATATAGGTAGGTACATTGTTATTAACTTAATTAGGGTACTCCTAAGCTGGCCTTTGCTAAAAACGTCCTCAATCTGATTGAGGTACGTTCGCTGAGGTCGACCCCTTCCAACTCTCCCATCCACACTCGTCTTGTATACTTGTTTCAGATACCTCAAAACAATGTACCTCCCCCGTGCGCCCCATCTCCCATTGCCCGACCGACCGACCAACACCCCCCACTTCTTCTAACACCACTTCTTCAAAATAGACTCGCCCAGGCCGAAAACCGACTTCTGTGCATGGGCCACGAAGTTTCAATCGCACTGTACGTGCGCGCCCGCACGTGGTATTTTGTGTAAGAGCCACACTCAAGGGGCCAAAGAGCCGCATGTGGCTCGCGAGCTGCAGTTTGCCGACCACTGGGCTAGGGCCACATCCTAATCTTAAGTACAGAAACACTAGGGTTGCTGCATGTGTTGTATCATTATCTAAGCTTTTTAAAACATGCATTTTTACATGCTAAGATGAATCCAGTTCTGCATGCTGCATGACAAACTGGAAAGCATCCAAGGGGGCCTCCTATGTGTGAAATTCCACACTCAAGGGACTGGGAGGTGGAGCATCTTTATGGTCATGAGCCACCTGTTTTCCCCCAAAGTCAGACTGAGCCTAAACTTTTCCCAGGACCTCAAGGGAGTTTTAGGATGGGGAATTTTAAGGCAAACAAGAGGGAGGGACTAAGGGAATAAGAGAGCCAGGTCCCCAAATCCTTGCTCAGGAGCCAGACCACCTCCTTCCCAAGGGACAGAAGCCTTTCCCTCCTCTAGAGAGCTGACCTCCCTACCCCCCATCAGATCTTCTTCCTCATTCTTCTTCTAGGAGAAACTCAAGCCAGAAGGACTCGGGAATCTGACTTGGATCCCAACCACCCACAGCCTCTGAAAATAAAGATACTGGTTGCCGTACCTCACTTTTAAACTGAACCTGGTAATTACGGATCCAGGGCCAATTTGCTCCAGTCCTGCAATCCCCCTCTCTTCAGGGTTGCTTCCTGAGTCCGTAGGGACAGGACACACATGCAGTGGTTTCCTAGGGAATGTTCTATTTGAAGATTTGGGGGAAATTATTTAAAAGGTTTATTTCTATATTAAGACAAACATGGATGTTTTATGGAATGGAAAACTCTTATGATCATTCATTAAAATAGGAGATTTGAAGAAATTTGCAGAGCCCTTATAAACTACATCCCCATGTTCCAAGGGTACATGTTTTACTTCCCTGATACTGTTTTTGAAAACTTCACTGAAAATTTAGAAAAGTATTTTGCTAGATGGAAGAACTCACATCATAGATGAGGTTACTTATGGGGAAAGGGAGAAAAATGAAGGGGGGATTTCAAGGTTTGCACTAAACAGTTTTAAATCTTTCCCCTCTGTAACAAGAAATAAAAGACAAAAAGAAAAACCTAATAAAAATTAAATACATGTGGTTAAAATACCAGAGTGCTGCTGCGTGATGGGTGGCCTACAGAGTCAGAGTAGCACCTTCTGGGACCCCCACACATGAGTCTAAGGGAAAGGGGGTATTTACCCAGGATGAGCTCACTCAGGTGAATGGGACCACCCAGCATTTCTTGGGAAGGCAGTTCAGAAAGAGCAGGACTTCTGGAGTCAAATACCTGTGCTCCTATCTGTGAGACCTCGGGCAAGGCATTCTCTAGACCCCAATTTCCTCATTTTTAAGATGGCTTTGATACCCTGTCTGTAGGGTATTGTGAGGATATGAGCCATGGTATATAACACACCAGGTACATTCTGGGCACTCAACACATATTACTTCTTTCCTTTCCCCAGGGCAGTGTAACAGAAAAAAATCTTTCAAAACAATGGTGGGAGCCTGGCCAGAGTGGCTCATTTGGTTGAGTGTTGTCCCATGTATGGAAAGGTTGCTGGTTCAATTCCCAGTCAGGGCACAAAGCTGGTTTGTGGGTTTGATCCTGTCAGGGAGCATCTGTAAGGCAACCAATCGATGCTTCTCTCTCACATGACATTTATTTCTCTTTCTCTCCCCCTTCCTTTCTCTAAGCATGCCCTCGGGTAAGGATTAAACAAACCAACCCCAAAAACATTGGTGGGAGTGATAAATGATACAAGGGATGGCTAGGGACAAGAGACTCAGAAACCAGGGTACCGATGATAAACCAGGTGCAGCTCAGCAAGCATGGCCACAGGTGCAGTAAGTAGCAAGCCTCTCATGCTACGAACACAATCTGCTGGGGGGGCTGGAGCTGGCCACAGGGCTCAGCCTTCAGACCACGTGATGACACAGGAAGAGGGAGGCCTTTCAACCTAGTGTTTAAAGACACACAACAGGGCAAGTTTCAGTTATTTTTAGTTAAAGAAAAGCAGCCTTTTCCAAGGGCAACAACGTGAACTGAAAGTCAGGAGGAAGCAGGGTGTGGGCCTCTCATAAGCTCTTGTTCTGAAACCCGGACTTGAGGAAAGAGGCCCTCCTGGGTACTCGGGGGAACTGGCCAGCAGAGGGATGCCTTTGGTGGGTGGGGTGGAGCTGCAGCCCACACTGGTCACTGGATTGGTCTGCATGGGCTCTAAGGTGATTTCCACCTGCCAGTTGGTTGACATGATTAACACTATTATTCTTAGGGGGCATTAAATTAAGGAATGGTGCGTGGAGCCAAGAGAGTGGCTTATTCAGTTGGATTCTGAATCACAATCAGGAAGTAGTCTTTATCTGCAAAAAGAGAAAAAAGAAAACACAAATTACTAAATGTGAAATGTGAGAAAAACACACTAGAAAGGAAATACGTAATTAAACCACCAACCATAAAAGGGAGTGGGTGAATACAAAGCATCACTGCCCAGGCCACTTCCAACTGCTGGGAAATAGAAGGTAAACTGGCAGGTTTCCTGTGAGGGCCTCAGCAGTGAGACCCAGGAGCGACCTCTGCGGCGCATGCTCTTTTCTAATCTTCCCAGTACCAACAGGGAGGTAGGATATCCTGTTTTCTGGGTAAGGAAACTCAGGTTCCGAGAGTTTAAATAAATTGCTAGTGGTTCTCAAAATGGAGGGCATCTGAATGACCTGAGGGCTGGCTGGGCTTAAGACAAACACTGCCGGGCCCTACCCCAAGCTCTTTGGATTCAGCAGGTCTGGGGTAGAGCCCAAGAGTCTCCTTTTTTTTAAAAAATATATTTTATTGATTTTTTTACAGAGAGAAAGGGAGAGGGATAGAGAGTTAGAAACATTGATGAGAGAGAAACATCAATTCAGCTGCCTCCTGCACACCCCCTACTGGGGATGTGCCCGCAACCAAGGTACATGCCCTTGACCAGAATCGAACCTGGGACCCCTCAGTCCGCAGGCCGATGTTCTATCCACTGAGCCAAACCGGTTAGGGCAGAATCTCCTTTTTTTTTAGTTAATCCTCACCCGAGTATATTTTTTCCATTGATTTTCTGAAAGAGTGAAAGGGACGGGGAGGGGGAAGAAGGAAAGAGAGAAACAATCATGTGAGAGAGACACATGGATTGGTTGCCTCCTGCATGCAACCCATCTGGGGCCAAGGATCAAACCTGCAACCCAGGTATATGCCTATGATGGGAAATCAAACCCATGACCCTTTGGTGCCCGGGCTAATGCTTTAACCACTGAGCAATGCTGGCCAAGCAAGAACCTGTATTTATTTTTAAGGAGTTCCCAGGTGATACTGAAGCTGCAGGTTCTGGGAGAACCACTAGTTTAAGGTCACCCAGCAAATCAGTGTCAAAGATAGATACCAACTTCAACCCCACTGCTCTTGGGTTAATGTCAGTTCTGTCACAGGCTGGATGAGAAAATTTCAAAGGCACCGATCAAAGGGGGCCAAAGCTACCTGGATTCCAGCTCTGGGGATCCCATCCAGTAATGAGGACTATCCATCATGAAATCATTGCAAGTGCAAGACCTCAGGGCTGAGTCTGACGCTCCTTTTTATAGAAGAAGAAATTGGAGAAGCAGTGTTTCAACTTTGCCCTTCATTATCAGATCGTGAACATTTACCAAGGCTTCCATGTGGCCAGTCCCGGGCCAACCACTTCTTATAATGGCATCTCAATGAGTCCTCAATCACTCTATGAGGCAGGTACTAGTGTTTTCTCACTTTATACTGAGGCTCAGAGAGTTAAATATCTTGCTCAAGCCAAGGCAAAAATGTGAGGTGTGGTGGTTGGGTCTGACCGCCCTGCTGAACAGAAGCGAAATGGCAGGACCTCGGACACACATGCTTTGTCTGCTGATTTAAGCCTAACGCTAGCTGTCTCCCATGACGGCTGGCTGATGGGACTGGGAAGAAGCAGATCTTATATGACTAATAGTTTCATGACTAAGCAATCTGTTTAAGTAAATAATCACTTACTAATAAAAATAATTAAAGCCACCGATAAAAGCGGACATAATTAGCAATACTAGTGTCTTTTCTTACAAAAAAAAATCAAGCTCTAATTCAATAATATCACTCCAAGTGCTTTGGGGGAAGCAGAGTTTTGAAGCTTGATTATGCTGTCAACTCAGCTTCACATCAGGGAGGTTAACAAGTGAAAACCAAGTCTGTCTGAAAACATCTCTTCATATGGGCTATTCTGGGCCAGGATGGGGTGAAATTTGGTATGAATGTGGAGATCCACACTGTCTGACACCACCTGCTGCTATTTTTGGTCTCCTCAGTTTGATCAATGAGGAAGCTTAGGTGGGAGGAAAGGGACATGAACCTCCTTCCTGGGCAGGGCTGCGCTAGGTTGCTCCCACAATATGGGGTGCTAATTACAGTCCAGGAAGGACCCACCTCACAAACACACAGCAGCCAGGCTGTTCTATGCTGGGCGCTGCCCCCATGGGGCCTGTGCTCTACGGCCATTCTAAGGTGATCCAGCCCCAATGCCTCAGAGGCTCTGCTGGCAGTGATTTTTCTTGCCATATCAAAGTGGTTGTGTCAAGATGTCAAATCACTGGTTTTCATCCTAAATAACATGTCCCACGGACATCTCTGATCCCCATCTCTACTGCTGACCCTACCTCCAACCCCCACAGTGGGATGTAGCAATGGAGGGAGGTTTAGGAAGTCTTTCATTTATTTATTCAATAAATATTTGTCAAATGTGTTCACAAGTTTCTGTACTCTTGAAACTGTCTAGTGGAGGAGACAGAATTAAAAATGCAGATAAGGAGGCTGGTTAGCCAAGTGGAAAGGTAGGATGGCAGTGTTGCCAGCAGCAGGACGGCATGTGTGAGGGCCCAGGGAGAGGCTCTTAAAGGCAGCAGGGTGGCTGGAGAAGTGGTCAGGGTGTGCAGAAGGAACACTCACTGTGTCTAAGGCACCTGGAAAAGTCACACATCCCGCCAGAATAACAAGGTGTGTGTGGGGGGGCCCATGAGGATGTGAGTGCTGGACAGACAGCGAGTGAGCAAGTGAGAGAGCATGCATACCCTCCCTGCAGGCTCTTAATGTCACCAGGGCAAGGGTCTGGCCACTTCCTCCTCGCCTCCACTGACAAGGCTTCTGGGCTTCTGGGCCTGTGCACCCAAAGGAGAACCTCTAACTGGACTCAAGCACCAACTGCACCCATGTGCTTTGAAAGTCTGGGGGTCCCTCAAGGGCAAGTTGGAGATGCCTTTGCTGCTGAGATGGGACAAATGGCCAGGAGCTTTCAGATAACTCTGCTGTTCCAGAGGAGACGTTCTTGGAAGCTTTATGTCAAGAGACACGGTCCATGGGGCCTGTCTGATGTAGAGATTGCATAATCTGTCCTTGCCTCACACGGAGAGTCCCATGTATACTGCTCTGATGTGCAGGATCAGTAAAGGGACCATTCCTAGCCTAACTTTTAGGGAAGTAGAGTTTCTATAGTCGCACAGCAAGAATCTTGGGAGGGAGTCCATCTGCTTCTGAGCCTTTCTGCTCTACCCCCTGCCAACATACTCAACCAGATGGGGTGTCTCAGAGGACCAGAGCAGTACAGCCCCATGTGATACTTTACAGATGTGAAAATAGAGGTTCAGGATGTTCTATGACTTGTTTAAGGTCACAATCATGAAGAGCTAAAGTTGGGAAGATGAACTCTGCCTGCTACAATCTGTTTTCTCTGACAGAATCAGAGACATCATCAGACAGTGATTAAATTGATAAACAGTGTACAGCATGTTATCCTATGTGCTTTTCTGGATTGACCTACTCTGTCCCCACCCCTCCAGGAAGTGTCCCAGGGAGACTGTGGGTTCTTGTGACTGGCTCTATGGTTCCCTCCTTCACATCCTTCCAAGCTGCCAGACTGGGCTGGAACAGGCCTGGGATCAGAACCAATATGGCTCTGCTGCTGGGAGTGTGTGACCCCCTCTCCCCCCATCAAATCACCCCAGAATTCTATAGCCAGTCTCTTTGCCATCTGTCTGCCAAGCCCAGGGGCATTCAGTGTCCCTAGCCTCCATACTGCCTTCTTCACCTAGGTCCCAGTCACAATCATATTGCCTCCTGCTCACAGGGTCAAGTCTGCAGTCAAGTTTTGGGTTTGAGGCCTTTTCTAAATTGGATCAAACGTTTCACCTCCTACTCCTTCTGACATATATTTCTGATGCCCTAGACCCGTGTTCGGCAAACTGCGGTTCGCCAGCCACATGCGGTTCTGTGGCCCCTTGAGTGTTGCTCCCAACTATGTGACTCCAAAA